GGTTGGGCATTTCCAGGCCCCCAGCAGCCAGTTAGTTGCACTAGGACATCTGAGCTCTCCTAACTGTTAAATGTAGCATACGTATTGTGTTAGGCAATTCTCTTTAAATGATGAAATGCAGCTAGCCACTCTGCAGACTCGTGAGATATACAGTATGATTCCCACTTCCCACAGATGAGGATTTCTTTGTCTTTGTGCAGTGAACACACAGCCTGTCCTGCTCCCTCCCCATCTCCTCCCTTGCCCATCCTGCCCTCTGGATTGCTCCTCACACTCAGCACAGGGACAAGCTACTGAGCATGCCAGCTGGTGAGTGGGGACCAGCAGTTCCCTACTCATGGGACCTACTGGCAGATCCTGCCTCCTGCCACCAGCCTGGTCAGTCTCCTGATGCCCCTACAAGCACAGGTGAAAAGTGATCACCTCCCTGTCCCCATAATAGCTGTTGGTGAAGCAGTTCCCAGTTATAAGTGCAGGAAAACAGAGTTCTCATTTCAGAAGCTGCATAAGATTATGAAAATAAATACCTACTTTTTTTCTTTTGCCATACTGAAGATTTCAGTAATTCTGTTCTGTATCAAGCCATGGATTCCATAGTGGGACAGGAGGTTCAAAAACATGACAGCTCACTGCACTGTGCTGAAAAAAAATCCGTACAAGTAAAAATTTGCTTTTTAAGTGAAGTCCATCAAGATTTGCCTTCCTAATGCTCATGCCCTTTTCTCCTTTAGCACAACTCTGAATTTAAAAGAGCATTATTCATGCCTTCATCCTAATGCAGGAGCATGACGGCATTCTGTGGGTAGATTGTACTTCTGATAAGCACCTTCAAAAGAAATTGAGAGGTATCAGGCTATGACTTTAACACAAGTAGAAAACAAGCAAAAGGAACTCCCCCCACCTCTTTTATTTCCACAGTGCAAGGAAGGCTTAGGACAAGATTATTATTACTATTTTTTTTTCTTGTCTTGGCAGACTGAGAGGGTGAGCTTGTATGTGTGTCTAGAGCCTTTCAGCAGCACAGACCCTCTGGGACTCCACCTTCATTGCACGTCTCTACAGAGCAGAGCGCAGGGGATACAAGTGGGCAGCTTAACTCGGTGTTAGGCTCTAGGGACACACAGCCAGCAGTAGGAAATAAGACCAGTTATGGACAGACATTTCAGTTTACTAATCCGCAAGCAAGAGTTCATCATTTCCAAAAGCCTCAGCAGTAATTCAAGACCAGAAAAAAAAAAAAAAAAGCTGTTTTCCTCAAAGTATTTTCAAAGCATACAATACACTATGATCAGAAAAACAGAAAAATTTGGGTGTAGAATAAATACAAATCATGATTAAAATAGCAAAATGTTTTATAATCTATTTTATCAGCCTGATAAAGGCTTAGGATATACCTTTTATATGAGACAAGTGATAAAAATGCGAAAACACTCAATAAAGAAAAAAAAGTATAAACCATAAGTTATCTATTATTCATAGTAGCTAGAAAATCAGGCCTTCAAAAAATCAGATATATCTATCTGCTGAGGCAATTAGATAAATGAAGTATATTCAAGATGTAATGGAAACTTCTCAAGAATGGCCATTTACTTAATTTTTAAAAAACATTTTAGGAACCATCAAAAATGGATAATGCAACATTAAACTGTTAAAAATGTTCATTCCTTCTGGCATAAATCCCTCTTTCCCTTCTCTCTCATCTTTTTCAGATGACTTTTTCCATCTTTACCATTCATGTGAGCTTGAGACTACAGCATGTAATATTTCTTTTAAAAAAACAAAGGAAAACTAATCCATTTTAAACCAAAGAAAGCAGTATCATTAGTCCTAGAAACAAGGGTTAAGGTTTCTGTTCTGCATTAAAAGTATCAGGGACATTTATACAAGCTTTTTTTTTTTTTTTTTTTTCTTTTTCATTTTCATTTCTTTTATTTTTTTCTTTTCTTTTTTTTTCTTTTTGATTTTCTTTTTGATTTTTTTTTTCCTTTCTTCTTTTTTTTAGAACAAGATCCCTCCTTCTGGTTTCTCTGGTTCTCTCTCTGGTGTCTGCTTAGTAACTTTTATATTTATAATGGCTTAATTTGACATATCTATGGCCAACTGGATCGTTGCACTCATAATATTTTTTTTAACTTGTATTATCAGAGCCTACTTGGAAAAGATTTCCATTAACTAGTGTAAATCTAATATGCGCCTCCATGATCATCCAGAGGACAAGGGAAGAAATGACCTGGTATTTCTGTCCAGTTCTTACAGAAAACAAAAATAGAGGAAAAACCTGCTCTGAAGCATACAGCTATACAGCAGGGGTGCATGAAAATAAACATCCCCCAATGGTTTTATGGAGAAAATTGATTTAATCTGTTTAATAGTGAGCAGCAATGCAGTCCAGATAAATGTATTTTGTTAAGCTAAATTTGAATTCTGATGTCTACTGCCTGGCAGTAACTTGAACCTATTATTATTATGCCCTTTAACAGTCATCAAAAGGACAGGAATTTGACTCCACACTGACGCCTGCACCTTGGCAAAGCAGCACAGCTGGTGCTGCTGAAATACAATGCAAAAGGAAGCACTGAAGTTAAAAATCTGCCTTGCTGTGTTATTCTCAGTGGAAGGCCTTGCACGAAGGTACAAAGGCAGCAACAAGACACTGGGATTGACAATGTTGTAGAACCCAAAATGCATTTGCAAAGGCAAAAGGTCTGCCTATAAAGTTTTTCTGGCTTCATAAAATATTAAGAAAGGGTAGACATTGGATGCATTAACTCCAAAATTACTATTTACTTTTTGAAAGACTGTTTCAAATTTGAGACATACCAACAGAGTTTGCCAGCCCTTCTCCGAGCCTTCCCTGGAGAGAGTGTACTGTATTTATATAATGTTCAGGCAATTTTCTTCATGTTTCTGCTCCTGCCCCAAACTTCATTCTTCGGTACTTGACTCACATTTTCTCTGGCCCAAATCTCTCTGTCCAACAAGTCACACAAACCCAGATCTCTTAACCCAGCCCCATTTTCTTTACTGAAAATCATTCAATCCCTTCTCATCTCAGTCCCAGTTCCCTGCCTAGGAAAGTTTCCTTCATCCGTCTTCTTGCCCCAGTTCTTCAAACCTCGTCTTTCAACCCTGCCCTGACTTTCCAGGCAGCTTCCACATAATTCAGGTTGTTTCCTCCTTCACACTGCCAGAGTGATAAACGCCTCCTAGCCTTGCCAAATCTCAGCCTCACCAGACTACAAGCTCGGAAAGATCCAACCATGCCCCTCTTCTGATTATGGAGTTGGATATGTTTGAAGACATGCAATGTAGCTAAATTTGGGTGAATTTTAATGGGGAGATTAGTAAGATACGTCCTTGTCCCAGAGCTGACCTCCTGGCAAGGCTCACACTTTCACTCCAAAAGCCGTCGAGGAGATGGAGAGCAATGAACTGTTTCCAATGGAAAGGTCACCAAGAGTTTAACATGAGCAAAATGACATTTCCTCCTAGCTTTATTTACAGAACCAGATGAACCATTTCAACTAACATTTTCAAAGCCCAGCATGGGAAGTTTCAGCCTGAACAGCTAAACTGAGAAAACTACAAAAACCTAAAGGCGGGTTACTTTTCTGGGGAAGGCGGGGGAAGAGAAGCTTGCTACCATAGGATTTTTCCCCTTTTAACTAACACTGGTAGTGACGGGGCAGCCAGCCTGCAGTCCAAACGGTCACTATATTTCTTTTTAATGAGACTTTGGACCTGCTTCAAGCCTAGTGCTAAAATTAGTTTTTTTTTTTTTTTTTTTTTTTTTTACTAGCTTTTTAGTTTTCCAGTTCAAAGGCTACAAGCTTTCAGAAACCACTACTGAAAGGTTGCAGCCTGGACCAACATTTTGAATCCAAGACAACCAACAGAAGCTGTTTCAGATTTTGTAGAAAGCCAAACATGAGTTGAGCATAATTCAAAAAGACAAAAGTGTTGCACTTCACATCAATCTCAACCCATTACCACAGGGAAAACATAGTTCCACTTTTTATGAAAACCAAGGGAATGAGAAGAACAAATGTCTAGATACATAGCTCTGGCTGTAATCAGTGTATGGTGGCTCTGATGTGCCTTTTCTAAGAGACCTCTTTCTACACAAGTTATTTGAGAGTCGTAAACAACACGCCAGCCTGACTGATGTGATTCATGGTTGCTTGCTTTGTTGAGATCACTACATGTTATGGCAGAGCAGAAGAAGCTTCAGTACCTGAGCGTGAATTTTATGGTTCAAGAATCAACAATGTTTAGGAAATTTAGTCTTTGCCAACCCCAAACTGGAAAAAAGACACATCACTCACGTGTTGCAACCTTTCCAGCAAACTCAGCTGCACGTGCACTATTTTCTGGTCATACCGTTTTGCAAGTAGACATTGAAAAAGGTTAAAAGTCAAAACAAGGAAGCCATATCTTTAAGTTAAATTCAAATTTTCTTGAAATAAGTAGCAGTCTCAGAGTAGCAAATCAGGCTATGTAAGGCTATATACTTAGAAATGTCTGGCTTAAAAAAAACAACAACCTTTATTCATTCTCCACTAGTGCCCCCCCCAGAGTGGGTTTTTTAGAACATTCACAGGAAACATTGCACTAAGTGCTCTACCCTTGCAGTCACGCCATTTTCATTTTCACATCAAGTATGTTAACTTGCTTTTAAAACAGTGCAGAGGCCCTCCTCAACTTTTTATATGTGTGCTTTTAATACGCTGTTTTTTCTTTTACTTACACTTCCAGTTACTGGTTATGTTTCAGGGTCAAGAAGAATCACATGAGGAAAATCAAATTTTAAAGAGACAGATAGGCAAGGTCATAATCTTTAAAAGTTCTTCTTTTTTTTTTTTTTTTAATAGTCATCCACTTACTTGATGTGATGATGTGCTCGTTCACCTGCCTGGTTTCAATAAAACAAAGTTTTACACGTAGTTAATCTTTTCATTTTCACAAGAAGTTAATCAAATAGTGCAAATGACGATGCATGCTCATAGTTACCAATATATTGCTTTATTTCTTGGTAGCAAATTAAGGCTTTTTAGTGAGATTTGTACAGTACAGGCCAATTTAAACATTAGAAACCTTTAAAACCATGTAGCACTATTCATTCAATTTATCGTAGCCAGAAAAGTAGCTTTTTTACTTTTTTAATTATTATTAAAAAGTTAAATGTTACTAATGAGGCCTTATATTTCATGAGTGCAAATGGCTCAAAATCCCACCATCTTCAGGAATGGGCTCAACATTTACTATTTTGGGGGCCATTTTCAGATAAAGGATAAACAGAGAGTATAGCTGGCTCGGATAAATATACTGTAATACTTGCTGGAGAAGAATCTCTAATTTTAAAAATACAGAAAGGAAAACTAAAGTGATGTTAACTCCTCAAAGGACGATATCACCCCCTGCTAGCCACTGGCCAGTAATAGTAGCAATGACAAATTCATTTTCCTTGGCCCTCCTTGCTTTAGGATAACCTTATTTATAATTCAGAGGTGATGACATCCCATAAGTTAAGAAACTCAAAATTGGAGGAACATAGATACATTACAGGACTCTTTGCCCAAGAAGGACAAGTTCCCTCTGCAGGGACATGTCCAAAGCACTGCTTTTTTGTAATCTGAGAGAGCATTGCTACAAGTATTTCCTCAGCAATTATGTATTTTTCACGAGCATATGGATTTTCACTTCATATCAATGATTTTATTAGTGTTGTCTGGAGATGATGGAACTACTGCTTATGAAAACCAGACACGGTGCTTCCCTTCTTATGTTCTCTACCAAGACATTTATAGCATTTGAGCTGAATGTATGAATTCACCTGTCAGTCACGCACAGGGGGCCTCCCTGAAAATATCATCACCCCTTACATGTCTGGCTTTCAGATCTGAGCATTACATGTGAAAATGCAGAGAAACGGCTGCCAGAAAACTGTGAAGAAAGTAACCATGAAATGACCGTGTGCTCTGGGGAAGGAGGCAGCAGATGGGGGAAGCTCCCAGCCACACGTGCTCTTGCATGAGCAAGAGTGACCATGAGAGTACAATGGGCTTCCAGTGTCACAGGGCAAAGCTGGCACCATGATGCCATGTTGAACAGCAGCTTTTCTCCAGCTTATGGGAACATGCACAGAGAAGGAGTCACGAAATTTAAACCTATCATGTGAATAACATTCCAAGCCCTTCTCTCCCCCAGGGTGTTATCTAACGCCTTTGAAGTCTCAAGATCAGCTATCTGTTGAACTGTAAGGCCACAGAAAAGGGTCAGGTTTCCACATGTACTAAAGCACGTATTGAACACAGCTCAATGCAGGTGCCTGGTTTGCTCAGGGAACATCAGCTGCAGTGGTGCCATGGGTGCTGAAGAGGTACCATGAAGGAATAAAGGCAGACTTTCTGGCGGCGGCAGCACAGTGCAGTGACTGGGACTGCCTTGTGCAAAGCTCTCCACAGCACCTCAGGGTCCCTGGTGTACTACAGCACTAGCTTAGCCTGATGCAGAATTACAGTGGCTTTCTGGGTGGATTTGCTGGCTTTTCCCCTTGCCGGGCCATCAATCTCTCTATTTTCCTTCACTAAGGTGAAAACGTCACTGCTTATCAGACCCTGCAGCCCGTCTGCTACCAGAGGGTGGTACTGCACATGCAGGAGAGGCAGATCTAGAGTTGAAGGCAAGTAGTGATGATGCACGAGTGACCTGAAGTGAGCTTTCCAGAAGAAACCATGCCTGGGCACAATCTCCAGGTTCACTCCGCAGAGTGCTTGGCAGTGACCAGCAGGTCTTTTTCTGCCTCTGTGAAGTGTATTTAAGAACATCACCCAGTATTTCCTGAGGGGTTACAATGATTGGCTACCAAGGAGAAACTACTTGGAGATAAGGGGATGCTTTATCAGCCCTGTTGGAAGAAGTTGGGGAACACAGACACATATTGCATAGTCAGCTTCAAGAGCACAGCTGGAATTCAGATGCATTTGACACAGCTTGGTAGCCTTTCCAAAGGAGGATTACGTGCTATTTCCTTTGGAGGTAGCTACTTTAGCCTGGGACAAGATTGCGGCTGTTAAGGAAATGGCACCCCGACAGGGATGCCGAGCACTCACTGCTTTTGCATTAAGGCAGCCTCTCGACGGAGACCCACCGCACCTTAAAAAGTGATCATACAAAAAGCAAACAAAATAGTCCTCTAGAAACCCCCCCACCAACAACATACAAGAAAAGCTGACTCCCGTGAGCTATAGAAAAAACAGCATTACCGAATATGGGAGCATGTGTTTATACATCAGTGTTTTTAATACTGCATTGCAACAACGGGTGTGTGGTATCCTTTCAGAAGAAGGCAGGGTTGGTGTGCTCTATAATACAGCGCTTGCAATGTCGTTTTACAAATCGCAGAGCATCCACAGACACATCGCAGTCCTGCACATTCAACATCTGCAGGTCAAAACAGTTGGCGGCCACAATCTGCAGGCCTTGCCCAGTGATGCTCTCACATGATTTCAGACTCAGGCGCTTCAGGTTGAAGCAGTTGAGGGCTAGAAACTCCAGGCCGGTGTCTGAGACCAGAGGGCACTTGCCAATATCTAGCGATTTGAGTTTTGTGCAATTTTTGGCGAGGTACTCCACGCCGTGGTCCGTGATGCCCTCGCAGCCCCGCGCATTGAGGTAGCGCAGCTTGCTGCAGTACTTGGCGATGTAGCGGATGCCCACGTCGGTGATCCGCCCGCAGTGAGCGATGCTCAGGTATCGCAGGCGCGACTCCAGCTTGGCGATCTCCCGCATGCCGAAGTCACTGACGAAGCGGCAGTCGCTCACGCTCAGTTCCTTAATGGACGTGCAGTAAATCATCAGGTAGCGGAGACCCTCGTCGGTGATGCGGACGCAGCGGCGCAGGTAGAGGTGGGTCAGCTGGGTGCAGTGCGCGGCGATGGTGTGCAGGCCTTCGTCCTCCAGGACAAAGCAGTCCGTCATGTCCAGGTAGCGGATGGAGATCTGCTTCCCGTGCAAGGGAGACAGCTTGATGGAGGCTTCGCGAGTCAGGCTGATGCATGTTACCTTGGAGCAGCCTAGGTGGAAAAACAAGGTCAATACAAGCAAGCAGACAGCAAGGCCAGAAAGGTGGCCGTGACATTATGCACTGAAGATAGCTTCATGCTGCACAAACAGATACGTCCTGACTGACCAGCCTGGGTTTGCTGTGATGTGCACCAGGGGAAATAATAAACTCCATCGGAGTGAGTTTGCTTGGGGATTTTGAGTACCAGTAAAGCCACAGACCAATTTCGTCCACATCCCAAATATAAAATAATGGCCCTAGGTTTACCTAGGGACACTCTACGGTCTATTACTGCAATAGACACTCGGTGACAATTTGAGAAAATGGTATTACATGACAACCATGCAGCTTTTTGATCCGAGGCAGTCTCATTGCTGACGGGCTGAGTTTGTAAACCAACATCAGAGGCTCTTTCACCATCAAACCCCATTATAAAAGAGAAGGAAAACCCCACCCACCCTCCAAAAAGCATTTGGGGAGCAGATGTGAATCCAGCCCCAAGCCTGCAATGTGGGAATGATGCAAAACCATGGCAAGAAGATGTGTTTGCAGAAGGGTGGAGATTTGGGTAACCTAAGGAAAATGGGGAGAGTCAGCAGGAGCCTACAGACTTGTAAGGGCACGGGAGGACAAGGACAGACACAGAAAAGGACTATTTCAAGTGAGAAAGTCTGGCCATGAATGGCTGTAACTAGACTAGAGGAGAAACATCAGACCTTGCAAGGGAAGAGAAAAAGCTAGATGAAAGGGAAAACCACAGTCACAGACTTCCTCCATTTTTGATCTCCACTCTGTGCATGTTGGTGAATGAAAGCTTTTTTGGCAAGTGCTGTTTCTGCTCCATTGCAAACTGTAGTCTCAGGGCTCCTGAAGGGAAATTCTTATCTGTGTCCAGTTCGTCTGGATACATTACATTAGCATGGCTAGAAATAGCTGCGAGGATGACCTCCTAGTGCTCAAGGCCCATCAGTTTCAGCCACAAATGTCTACCCAGGCAAATTCTGCAGCTTACACCTAAAGAGGTGCCCTCAGGTACGCACAGAAGGAACTTTTCTGTATTGCTAAAATGCTGGCCAACAGCAATGAACTGAGCCATGAAAAGCCAGAAAGGCTAGAATGACAACCTTAGATCTCCACTGATCATAAATGCTGCACAAATCCTGTAGTCTGGAAAAAAAAAAGCATGCCAATCTTTGTATAAAGTCCACCTCAAAAACTCGGATGACCCAAATCCATACCATTTGTTACAATAGGCTCTTATTCAGAAGCTTACTGGAAGGTTTGAATATGCTTCAGAGAAAAAAAAAAAAGAAAAAAAGAAAAACCTTCTGATAATCCAGAAGGCTCACACAAATGCCCTAAGAAGCATGAGATATGGACAGCTTACAACCTACAATTAGATTCCTACATTCATTGCTTGAGTTTGCAGCTGGATTTTTAATTTAGACTTCAAATCTATGTGAACAGATGCAAAGTTTACCTTAGGCCTCACCAAATGAAACTGGCAAATTGTCCACAGGTCATGCAGAAGCTCTGGGACCTTGAGGCAAAGCACCTTGTTCACAGAACAACATCTTCTTAAAACTGAATGCAGCTAATTCCTCCCCTGGCTGGGTTGTAGATCCATCTGTGCTATGGTGCAATTTTTGGAAATATGTTTGCCTTCAAATAAATAATATTTACACGCTCCAAAATACGAAGTGTTTTCACTAAAGGGAAGCAGAACAGTCCAATATTAATAGTTTAAAATTTCTCCCCTAATACGCTCTTTGGAGTAGGCAAAATGCAAAAATGCACAACCCGAGTCCCCATCCTTGAGCTGGGTTTTCATAGAAAAAACTGGCACCTAGGCATAAATCTGTTGGATCTGATATAGCTGTCTCTATTGTGCTAGCACAAAGAGGCTGCTGGATTAAGGGACCAGTCCAGAAATTTCACATGCTGACCAGAATTCAGTTTTACAATGTGGTTAAGTGAGAATGAAGGGTTGATGAGGCAGAGGAGAATGTTCTGCCTGCTGTGGGTCCAAGAAAGGGGAGTGATGTAATGACGACAATTAAAAAGTGAATAGGTCAGAAGTCTCTCAGCAGGGTTGGAGTCACTGTACAGAAGAGTGTGATCACTGTTTTGACAAGCTCAGCATCGTCTTGTCTAGTTACTTTGGCCACAGTGTAAAATATTTCAGGGGAAGGGTATTCAAAATGGTTCCACCAGAAAAAGAATCCATGTCGATATACAACTGGCTGATTTTTAGCCAAAATGACAAGTTTCTGGGTCTGTAACTATTTTTCTGTCCTTAATAATAAAAAATGTAAAAACAAAGCTCTTGTAGCAGGATTTTCCATAAAGGAAGTATAACTGATTTTTAAATGGGAGATGAAACTTCCAAACAGATTAAAAAATTGTTGGCAGGCATGTTAGATAATAACTTGCAGTCAAGCTCAACCAGCTTCTAGAGATATCTCCGACTTGCCCACAAAGTGGATGCTGAGAGTGACAGAACTTGTATTGTGGAGAGCTCTGAAAGTTAATACGAACGTCTGGTTCTGACATTACATATTTTGGTACTTTATTGCTGCCAAGTAACCATCCAGGAGGAGAGGGATTCAACTCGATGTACGAATGTGAACTGGGTTTTAACCAGCTAGCTGCAAGGATGGTGTTATACCCCAGCACAAGCACCTAATTTTTCTTGCTCAGTGTGAAACCCGATCAGCAAACCACTTCAGTGCTGAGATTTACTTGAACATCAAGATGAAAGCCTAGTCCTAATTACTCCCTGGACCTGATTACAGAAGCAATCTTTTCACATGAGATCTCATTTTAGCTTCAAATTTATGCAAGGTCCTAGAGTGCAACCCCATTTCAAACAAGTCCAGTGAGAGCCTGTCTGTACAGCAGTCAAAATTGCTGTCTGAAACCTTGTTGGAATTATTTTCATAAGACACTCAGGTATGAAAACAAGCGTCATTTTTCTTTCTTTTTCAAGTGTTGTTTTCCTTCCCCACCCCCCCTCTTTTTTTTTTTTTTTTCCCTCTCTTTCTTTTCCCCTCCCCGGTCTCTTTTCTGGCCTTCCCTGTCCTACCTTCTATTTAAACTTGGTACCCCAGGGGCAGTAGGAGAGCAGTCTGGCACAGTCTGAGGCAGGGCCCAGCAAGGAGGGCAATTGCCTTCACACCACAATGCAGACTGGTGAGTCTTGGGCCCTGACCTTTGAAGACGACTACTTACAACCACAGATGCATGGATTGCTTTTCCCAATTTGTTTGTAAGCTCAGGGATCACCTCTTCTCTTTGAGAAAATGGAGAGAACAGAACGAATGAGAGCAAGCAAAATCACTTTATAGGAAACATCCCCAGAGATGGACAAGGTGAGGCTTTAAGAAGCACTTTAAATCTGCCCAACCGCATCACTGTATGCTCAAGCAAGGCTTTCTCTTGCTTTGGTCCTTGATATTCACTAAACTAATTACCCTTTTTTTTTTTTTTCTCCCTCAAATCTGTTTCCCCTCTTCACATAGTATCTGCTGGACCTGGCTTCTCCAGGTGCTGTAAGATGCCTTTTCCCTGTCAATTCTGCAATTTGTTATTGAGCAGAGGTGCCTTTGTGGTGAGACTCCAACAGGAGTTCCTCACTAAAGATCCATGTGCTGACAGAGGGGGTGTCCTGCCCTTCCAGCAAGGAAGAAAAAAATGGGGCATAATTGAAACGATTAAACTAGTTCCTGTGGATAACACAGATTTTTTTTTTTAAATGGAGAGGTTGGCATTATACACAGAGCAATCTCCATAGGAGCCAAGGAGCCATTACCTTGTGAAGGTAATGCAATCAGTGGCACACGTAATATGAAGACAGATCAGACTCACCCTTCATCTGAGCACACTGCTGTGGCGTATTCACCACTGTGGGCTTTGCTACAACTGAGGTCACTCCTAACCCTATCAGATAGTGTTTGGTTTGATGAGAAGGGTTCATTTCCCCTTCCTCTGCCACCAAGTACAGCACTGTGTGTGAAGCACGTGAAGAATAAAGTTACTCGTGGATCATCACTACATATCCTGACAAAGTGCACAACAACCCTTAAAAAAACAGAGTGCCCCACGGAAAATAATCACAGAATGGTTTGGGTTAGAAAAGGCCTTAGAAATAACCCAGTTCCAACCCCTGACCATGGGCAGGGACACCTCCCACCACAACAAGTTGCCCAAAGCCCCATCCAGCCTGGCCTTGAACACTTCCAGGGATGGGATACCCATAATTTCCCCTGGGCAACATGTTCCAGAAGAAGTAAAAAAAAAAATAAATCTTTATGTATTTGATTTCAGCCAGACAGGAGTGGAAAATGGAATCCCGCTTCCAAAACATTCTCAAAAATTACCTGCACCCGGAATGAAAAATGCAGGCTCAAAACAAGACCCCAGAGATTCACTCCCCTCAATTCATGTGCAGGCACACGCTGCAAAAGCTGTGTCTGACCCCAAGCACCCTCACCTCTGAGACTGTTCAAAACCAGGGTTTCTCTCCCGTTTGTTCCAAAAAGGAAGGAGCTTGTTCAAGAAAAATCTGAGATTAAAATTACTTTCCTGTCCCACTCTGAGACAAAATTTGAGGAAGACAGGTATTTTACACCACCCCCATCTTCCCATCCCTACCCCCTCCCCACATTTTGGGCCAAACCAACGATCCCTTAGGGACAGTCACCATCTTCAAGGTCTGAAAGTAACAGGCTTGGGGGAACCACCCAGACAAACCTCCAAACAGAGCGTATTTTGAGACTTGGTCTCATCTTTTCTTTTCCCCTGTTTTTGCAAAAATAACTTTGCATATCTATCAGTAGAAGCTGTGGACCTAAACAGTCTCAGCCACTCCCATGGAAAGGCTCTGAGCCTTTCCTCTGTGTCAGCTAACACACTGGTTTGCTGAAGCAGTTCACCCTCAGCTCAGCAATTCTGTTTCCTGCATGTCCAGGCCCAGAATATTTTGAGCTCGTCAACTCTCCACACCACCCTAGAAGATGAAAGTAAGAAAAGCATAAATGTGCACAGGATACAGCCAACCTTCCAAGTGATATCTAGCTCCAGGTCTAAATCATACAGGCATTTACTCCTGATATTGGACACACTTCAACCTGAGTATGTTGTAGCAACCCACAGCTGATGTCTGTATGTACTGACAATAAGTAATTCAAATGCAAGGTCGCTGTGAATAGATTCCCTGGGACAGCATTCCTCATCACCTGTCAACTGTGGACACTGGTCACAAAAAAGTGAGTAATTCTGATTTGTTGCTGTTTGCTTTATTGCTATCCATGACATTGTGCCATCCTAGCAAACACTAGGTGAAAGAGTTGGACTAATCAGTTAAGAAGGAAGGAAGGAAGGAAGAGAGAGAGAGATAAAGAGAGATAAAGAGAGAAAGAGAGAAAGAAAGAGAGAAAGAGAGGTAAAGAGAGAAAGAAAGAGAGGAAGAGAGGAAAGAAAGAAGGAAAGAAAGAAGGAAGGAAGGAAGGAAGGAAGGAAGAGAGAGAGAGAGAGAGAGAAAGAAAGAAAGAATACAATAACCCATAAGTAAATCAGTGTGCACCAGCTGGGCAGTCTTGGAAAAATCAGCTTATCTGGACACAAATGACTCAACATCATTGCTTCCTATCCCTGCTTTGCCCTGCTTTGTTGTGTAGCCATCAATACCTCTGCAATGGCAAATCTGGTCTAGCTGATCATGATAAACAGACTATTATTAGACTGATAACAAGGTGGTATCACAAAATAAGTACTGAACATTAAATTTATTCTGGTGCTCTGCTTGGGTGCATCCTTTAAATTAAATGTCTGTGTATTCACAGAGAGGAAAATGCATGTGTCTGACCTCGGGAAAAAAAATCTTCTATCCACAGACACATCTGGGAAAAATTGTCTAAAACATTTCAGCTGATCTAAACAGCTGCAGTGTGATATATTGAAACTGTGGTCAAAGAAAAAGGAGAAAGTCACTAAGCAAGTGTATACACTATAAAAAAAAAGTCACAGCTAGCTACATCTGGTTAAAATAGGAATGGAAGCAAGAGGACCTTGAAGTTTAGCTAGGGATGACATTTGATATTTTTACCCAGACAAAAACCTAGGACTGATTCTGAGCTCCTTCTCAAATCACTCACCAGATTACAGATATACACATCATATATACAGATGATATACATGTACATATGTAGAGATGATATCATCTACATACAAATTATATATACACACACACACACACACAGAGAAGATTTTAAAACTTTTGCTCTTGCTCCAATAGCTAGCCTTTGCCATGCTACATACTACCAACTGCAACATGGACCCCTGTAAGGCTGCTTTATGCAAACACCTACAAGAGTACTCTTGCTGTTTGAAGGGGTCCTCTCTGTCAGCTGGTCTCCATCAGAGGGGGCCAGTCCGCTCAACTGGTGCTGCTGGCATCTGGGGCATGGGGACTGACGCGGGGCCTGGCACACCATGGTGGTAGGAGATGAGCACTCCTACCTCGAAAAACAGCGCAGAAAGGGAAAGAGTGCAGTGTCAGGGAGCAAGGGTAGACTAGCAGGAGGCGTTTTGATGTCTGTGTTTTAAGTATTTCCTGTTACCTGACACATCCAGGTGTTCCAGGTTCGGACACAGTGACACGACATCGAAGACCGCCTCGTTGGAGATGTTGTAACAGCCGGACACCTCCAGCCTCCTCAGTTCTGGGCAGCACTGGGCAATGGTGTAGAGTCCTCTGTCTGTGAGCCGCCTGCAGCCACTAACAATTACCGTCTCCAACATGAGACATACGTTGGGTGTATCCTGACAAAGCCTCCGGGTCAGCACTTTAAGAGCCCTGTCTACGTTGATCGTCTCGCCGGTCAGGCGTATAGTCCTCCAGAGCCGTGGGTCCCAGGCGAGATTGTACCAGCGGCGGCACACGCGGGCACAGCGGCACAGCTGGTTGGTGGGCAGGAAGGAGAAGATCTGGATCATGGAGTGATCGGGCAGCCGGTCTACGTTGGCCTGCTCCTTCTGGTGCTTGGACGCCAGCCGGATGAGGGGATGAGTGAGGCGGGTGGGAGGCGGCGAGTGGACCATGGCAACAGTCTCCCCAGTGACTGAGGATGACGAAGTAGACGAGCCTCGGCCATTCTGGAAACCCTGGGTATTCGGTGGGAATATCAATGCTGGACTGGGCGTGCTGAGCGTCCGCATGCTCAGGTCGGAGTCTGGAAGACAAAACGCAGGGATCAGTAAGCGGCCGGAGGCTGCAGAGCCTGTCCCGCTAACCTGTCTGCTCATGGAGAGAGAGGGGCTGCGGGGTTTGGGCAGGGGGTGAAGCAGGTATTTTTAGCAGGTCGAGTGGGAACACACACTCCCAGAGCTATCTCCGAGCACCACCCCATCCGCCCTGGTGCTGCCACACAGCAGTGACAAGCTGCCCTAGCAAAGGGCAGGCTGCAGGCCTGAGCCCTGCAGCGCAGAGGAGACAGCAGCACAACACTAGGGATTTTACATCTTTACACCCTCAGCTAAATACCACAGGAAACGAGGGCAGCTGAATCAGAGGCTTGTTCGGTGGGGAGGAACTGCAATAACCTCAGCAGCACCTGGGAGCTGCTCAGGGAAGAACACCGCGGGCCTTCGCCTCTCCGCTCTTCCAGGGAGAAGCCGGAGAAAAGGGCAGAAGGCAAATGCTGCTTTGCTCAGCATGCCTGGGCAGATGGGAAAAACACAACCACATGCAAGCATCCTCATCGTGTCATTAAAGAAGTTCATTTCTCCTGCATGCCAACGGGGACTCAGCAGGTCAACCGAGAGCCTGGCAACTGGCTCTTGAGCGGTTTGGCTGTGCTGCTTCTTGCATGGGCAGAAAGGCACAAGGGGAAAAAGGAACTGCGATCGGGTTTCAAAAAGCAAGCCCAGAGAAGTAAGTGGCGAGGAAACAGCACGCCTGGAAGTTTGTTACAGAACCACTGCGCAATGTTTACACCATCTTTTTCCTAGTGCTGCTGCCAGGTTGAAAGCCATCAACCCAAAAAACACACAAAACTATTTGCTATTTCTTTAACATCTTGCAGGCATAAAAATAAAGGGAATCTGCTGCTAAGTAAGCTTGTCTTTGATGAAAGTTTATTTCAACAGTTTTTTTCTTTCTGCTGACATTGCTGCCCAAGAGTCATTTCCACTCCTGCTCCCAGCTCTTCAGCTATGCAGTGCGACAGCAAGTCCTAGACCGGAGAGAACCAGGAGGCATTTCTGACTGTCAAACAAATGCCATGGGTGATACGCTTAGAGACCCTAGGACATCTCAGCAGTATGCTACACAAAACGCAACCATCGTGTGAGATGAGAGATGGATGCTGGCACAGCTTGCTCATTCCCTCTCTGACCTCTCCATACCGATCACAACAGAAATGCTTTACAAAGAAAAACACTGTCCAGATGAACACAGGAACCAAAATGCAACACCCAGCAGAATAACAAGTACCAAGAATGGAGTGAGAACAGAGGTTTCACAGCATCAAGATTTCCTCCATGCTGCATCTTGTGCCATCTCTTCAGTGTTTAGACATTTCAGGGAAGCATGCAAAGCCATCTCCTTCAGTAACACCAGCTCTACAGCTTTGCAACTGTGGCTGAATAGAAATGGGTTAAGCAGGGCACACCCAAGAATGCATTCAACAAACCCACACAAATCTGGGTTTAGGCAGAGTTTTCAAATAAACTAATTTTTAGATGAGCTGGATCAATGTTTTACACAAGAATTTCCCCATTCGGCTTTTACTTAGTCCAGCACAGGCATGGTTTCACCTCACTAGCTGCAATAGCAGCAAACAAAGGGTTGCATTCTCACAGTGGGTCTGCAAAGGAGAGAAGCACAACTCCTTAGGTGAAGAAACCAAGACACAAAGTCCATCAGTTTGCCCAAGACCACCTAGTTCAGGTGAAGACAGATCAAAATCATCATCTCACCCTGTGAAGAAAAAACCCACACTACACAGCTCCTTCCCTCTTCCTTTTTTGTGTCTTGTTTCACTTAGAAACTCAGTATTTCAGCTAGTGACAGGAAAAACATTTTTTCTTCAAGGCCTTTGAGTCTATTCTATGGCTGTGTGGATCTAACCCAGGGATTTGTAAATTGCTGAGCGAGAACTGTATCTTAACACAGAGTAGGTTTTGCAGACACTCTGCTCCCCTTTGAGACCTCCTAATACCCCCCTGGCAGCTACAGCAAATAATTGCACGGAGGAGTGTTATTTGGAAAGCGTGTAGTATACTTTGGTATTTTAAAAATGAGATTTACAGCTGTAGAGGAAAAAAAAACCACCAGCAGCAGCCAGGCTCCTGCAGACAAGTACTGACTCCACAGACCACTTAGGCAACAGCCCCCTAGATTAATTGTTGCAAGGACTTACCATGTGTTTGACCTCCCTCACATCACCACCAATGACAATGCCTGAAGTTAAACATGTGCATAAGATGTGGCAGATCTGGAGCCTTTACCTTTTGTTCTTTTCTTCAGATTTTAAGACAAAGAAGCTTCTAATATAAAAGAACATGCATATTTTTTTTCAAGTGATGGATGTAGTTCCTACCGCTACATATATTTGGTATTGTGAATTCCTCCCCTTTCCTTTTACTTTTTCATTTGCTTTGGGGTTTATTTTATTGTTGTTGTGTTGTTGTTTTGTTTTTTCTTAAACCAGTGCAAAAAGGAGAAACAAACCAATAAAAATAAAACCCACATGAGAAACACTTGTTTCTACACAGCAAAATAGATGGATGAAAAATCAAAATCAAAAAGTTTCATTTTTTAAATGTTTGCTATCAACATTTTCTACCACTGTGAGAATGTGGTTACCTCCTGTAAGACAGTCTCCCAGCACAACTTGAAAGCATACATTTTTAGTCTGTGATTGCTGAAAACACCAAAAGATCTCTACAGGGTTACATTCTTCCCTATGCTTATACTTCAGTATAAAAAAGCTTTTAATGCTCCATGATGCTCCCTCCTGTGATCAAAGCATCAAGCTAATACGGCTAATCTCCATTCCTTTTGGACCAAAAAATGGCATTCCTTCCTCACTCCTTTGCTAACTGTGCATAATCAATACCTTAGACATTCCGGATGCATAATATATTACTAAAATGTGGTTTTTAACTTAGACCTAGAGCTAAAAAAATGTGACCTTCTGTTTTATGGTAACACTCCCTGCTTGCTTCATGCTCTCCTAATTCTCTCATTAGTATAGCTGTTCCAGATGTGCATCCTGTATTTCCTTTACCTCTAATCCTGAAGGTGCTCCATGTGAAATTTGCTCCCCCCACCTTCAGGACACGGACTTCCAAATGGATACACACACATGCATACGCACGCACCTCTTCCCAACCCTTTTCTTTCCCCCCCCCGAAACAACGTTGTCATTATGTTCAAACAAGAGAGGTGAGGGAGCATTAGTGGTCTGCTGAGTCTGTAACGCAGTATGCTCCTAGGCAGGAATTTTGCCAGTAGCTTAGCTGAACTCCTTACAGAGGTATTCCCACTTACTGCTTGTCATGCACCCCTGAGAGGAAAAGAAAAAATAGCAGGTGAGTTCAGGAGGTTTTTGCCAGTAAAAACTTGGAAAGCTTTTTGCTAGCATTTAAAACTTCAGCAAAACCCTTGGTCTATTGTACGTTTTCCAGGCTTTTCAAGTATTGTTGGGAGGGACTTCCTGCATATCCGAGCTTCTAAGACTTTCATTCAAATTTTGTTCTTCACCATTTGCTGAGTGCCAGCTAACAGACGGAGCTGGGCCGAGACAGGGCAACCCACTGACAGCATGCCATCAATAAACGCCATCCTGCAACTGCAAACGAAGCTACTGATTGCAGTTCTCAGTACAATCATTCCAGACACATACTGTAACAAGCACATCTTTTCCTGAAAACCACTGTTTAAAAGCCCAAAATGCAGCTTTGCATTTTCGTGATCTTCAAAAGTAAAAAAATGTACAAAGCAGCCCTGTGTCTCCCTCCCTACAACCTCTTCTACCCCTCTTCCTCCCTAATTACCAATGCATTTCTGCAAGATGCTTTTTATTATGGCTTTGTTCAGGCTCTGAAAACTGTTTGTTGATACAAGAGAAAATTTCTTAACAATCTTTAAAGAAATCTCAAAAGACGCGTGCCAAAAACACAACTATAAAAGCTGACACAGAGGGAGAAAATGCACTGGAGGGAGTTTTCTTATTCCATCAGGAATCTGGTTTATTTCAAAGTTGGAGTTTTTTTAGTTCTTTTTTTCTTTTTTTTTTCCCAGTTTGGTTTCCCAATGTGTACATACATCTGGGGAAAAGGAGCCTTACCTATGTATGACTCAAACCAAGGCTAGGTCTTTGTGCATTCTGGCCTTGACAGCAACACACAGTCTCTGGTTTCGGGACCAGAGGAAGAAAACAATGTCATGCTTTTGTTAGACCAGCAGTGGGCACTAACACAGGACACCTGATGTCCGGATCCCAACGCGGACTTTTTGAGATTGAACCACTGCCCTGTGTTTAAAGTGTGACTCCGTGTAACCACAGTTTTCACTAGGGAGCTGTGTGCACCTGTCGTGAAGTGAGTGCTATACTGCGCTCCCCAGCTTTACAGAACTAAAATGAAACTTTCAATAAATATCAACAAAATTTCAGGTCCTTGTCTGACAACTGAAATGCACCCTTCATGTAGATCTGCTGTCACTGCTGAGGCTTTTAGCAACACAAAGTAGAGAGTTCAGCCAAAATATGTGTAGCCTCTGAAGAGTCAGTATAGCTGAGAAAACTTAAAAGAAAATGGCATTTTTATTACAACATTAGATGCAAAATAATGTGTGCAAAAAAACACTTAAGCATAGTATAGACACAACACATAGTCTCCTCACCAGTAAAAATGGTGCATAAATATTAGCTATTTTACTGAGTGCAATGTTGGTCTAGACTTCACATTTTTACTATGATACCATCCCCCTGCCCATGCCAAAAGTACTTGTTTTACTGAGTGTGTGGACAGGGGAAGCCTATAGCGGCTGTCAAAGCTGTAGAAACGGGGACAGAAGCGACCTGCAGCAGGAACACTATGAGATGGTTCAACAGGAGACTCCTGAATGTGACAGACTGATGCCAAACACGTCTGTCTTTGAGGAAGACACCACAGCATGCAGCTAACACAGCAGGATGTGACAGGGGTGTTTGTACTCCAGGGT